CGCACGTAACTTTCTCTCACCGATTATATCGTGCATCGATTAACTGGGGAATTTTCATTGGTCCTCAATAAACGCGATACTTTAAAATAACCTGACCCCAAAAAAAGAAATAAGGAGCATTCCTCCAACGATTTTTGCAACTGAGAGCTTTTGATCCACCTTTTCGTCAATTTTGTACCCCATCAAACGGAATGCGGGAAATCGCATATGTTGCCAACTGTTCAGTATTTTTATGTTCCCTAGTCCATTGACGAATACATCATAATCGTTTCAAGAAATCGGAAGCGATCCAAACCACGGGCAAGCAGCACCTAGCTTTACTTCGTCAACACGCGAGCTGTGTTCAGCATTTGTAGGATATCTGAGCTTCTTCACAAGTGCACACCAACACACCGCACCTCTCTTTTTATCCCCTTCAAAACTTCATACCCAATAAGACCCAAATTGGCTTTTCCCCGCTACCTCTCACCCCTTTGTTGACAAAGCCTGAACCCCTGCAGCCTATATAAAGCGAAGTAATTGTGCACAATCACCAGAATGCATCAACACCGGAACGCCACGACAGTGTTATATCGTTCATATGGAAAATCCGAAAAAAATTCAGCTGATTCCTTCTCGCATAGGGGAATTGGTCATCTACCCGCCTCTCCCTCCAAATTGCGATACCGTATCGCGCAAGCCGCGCTCCAAAAAACTCCCCTTCCCTGACTAGAAACATAAGACCTAAACCTTCCAAAACTATTTCACTCGAAGACAATTAACGCTCAATAACGTAAAGTTTCATCTCATCCAATTCACAAAGGCAGCGATCTACTAGAAGTGAAGGGGGTCATCAGTGGACATGACGCGCCAATCTCTCAGTGGCGAAAAGTAGAGAAACCATCAACCAAAAACGAAAATAGACCTCCCCCCTCCTGTTTGTGCCGTGAATTTCGCTCAAGGGTGGACAGCGCTAAGACCGCGAACTCATGGACGGAATCTACCCAAACGCGTTTGGGACGCTCCTGCTAATGTCATCTCCGTTCGAGTGTTCTTCGGTTGCCTCGCCGCTGCTGCCACAACATCCCGTCCAAATCACCAACTGCAGCGCGGGATCGCTTGGGCGTAGCGGGCGATCTTCCGGATTCTGTTCAGCATAACCAGTGCACCCTTATCTTCCTGAAGCGCCCACACTCGCTTCTGGCCTGGCCAAAGTAAACGCTTCGCGTGACGCTATACTTCCGGTGGATTTCCTATTCATTTGTAATGCTTCCCAACGTAGGACCATTTTATGAATTCGCCTCATCTCTGTCTGTTTACACTTGTCAATAATTGCCCCGAACGATCAGACTAATGAACCTGCTATGCACCAACAGTCTTGAAATCCAACCGAAACGGCAAGAGATGACTTTAAAACTCAGCCTGCATAGCCTTGAGTGCAACACCGCAAGCCTGCCATTCCATGGATGTGAGTTTCCAGTACTGAAATTGGAAATCAACGCTTCTAACGCAAAAAGAGTCGTTAAAAATCAAGACAAAGTCGAATAAAATTGAACCCTGAGCCTGCCAGCCTACCTCCGGACTGTGTTTTTCCGTTTTGGGAGTATTTCCCATTATCAAGAAAACTTGTGTCGCTTGTATCTTGCATAAAATATTTTCTAATGAATTTTCCGAAACGTAAACGAAATTCGGAAAAAAAAACTGGCCACTGTTGTGGGTGGGAGGTTCGCAACGCAGATTACGCCGTATATGTCCACCTGACAGTGGACACAAAATGGCACAAAGGTTCACGTCTTCCGAGACCATTTCGTTGTAGCTCAACTTTGTACAATGAAGAGCAATTGCAATTCCTCTAATTACTCTCTGAAACCAATTCCCAAAAGCAGTCCTTTCGAGAGCATATCTGACTCCCAGCTCTCATACACCCCACACAACGCAACCTACTGTGAAAGCCCTGAAAGGAATCCTTCTCGAGAAATCAATGATCCCATTCTCACCAATAAATCAGGCTTGAGACATCATCACACACCTAAGAACGAAACCCGACAAAAATGCATTGTTTCGTTAATAATTCCGAAACAAACAAGATGGACGTCAAACTTCCCGCAGAAACAGTCTCAGCTAAGCTGGGCGGTTTCTCCATGTTCACGGATTGCTGTTCCTAAAAGGCCGCACGCAATAACTGTGACCATTGTGGCGGCAATGCATCTAACGCCGTAATACACTCCTTGGTCAAAACGGACATGACCTTTGGGTGATGAGAGAACCCTAAATGCTAGCAATACGTATTCAACTTCTCGATGTTCCTCCCCCTCCTGGGCTCAGTCTTAAGGAGTGCCCCCGTATCCTGCAATAGTGACGACTCTTTTTGACCTTTTGACTTATTGCACTGACATCGCGCACTTCCACTGCACCAGCTTCTATCGATTGTTTTATATCTGTTCACCAAAATCGAACGCTTTATGCCGAATCTTCACGCGTCGCAGGATACGACAGCTCCCCAAGGCACTCCTTCATTCCCGCCCGTGTGCCGCCGACCATACCCTTAAACTGTCCCCCTATATGGTTTCATACTTCCTGCCTCTTCGTACAAAGCCACTCCCAACTTCTGAAACTATGTTTGCCTCCAACAACCACAACTGCCCACATCATCATGGGAAGAACTGCTAAATCTTCTGGGAAGGGTTTCTTCAACACAGTAGTCAAACCGGACATGAATAGAATGAACAGAAGAGAACCATTGTGATTGTGGAAATCAACTCATTTCACCTTCCACCCTCTATTTCGGGAAACGAGAAGAGCGTCGAGTGCAGACCACACACCACAAGTTACGACGGCCAAGAAAAAGAAGAAAAAGCCACTTTTTTCTTGGCCGTCGTCACTTGTGGTGTGTGGTCTGCACTCGACGCTCTTCTCGTTTTCCGAAATACAGGGTACTGATTTCAAATATTTCACGTAACGCACATTTCACTGGCGGGGTCTCAAAAACATTGCGCCGTGATTTGTGTAGAACTGCGGCCGATCGCGTCCTAATCAGCGCGCACATATGGTCTCAATCTGTGCCACATTTACGAAAAACACACTTCGGGAAACCAATATGCCTATGTACTCGCACACCTGCACACAAATTTCAATATTTATGAAATTTCCCTCAGGCCAGAAAACATTTCTAACTAAACGGATGTATGTGATGATGGTGTGGGTGGTGATGACGGGGGAAATATGGGGAAATATCAACAACGCGGCGCGAGCCAAAGCAAAATCATCGTCGAAGTGAAACATGATGTGATCGATGGCTAAACAAAACAGCTTTTTTTTCTCTAATAATAATCATAATAACTTCTCTAACTTTCATTTATATTGTACAATGAAGTAATCGACAATAAGCACTAAACATTCGTAATATGCACTACTATTATTATTAGGAGGATGAAGAACACCTCGACACACGGACAATTACAGACAGACATACAATAACCCGCCGTAATCGAGGAATTCATATCGGGTGTGGGAAAGGTGTGAATTCGAATGTAAGTGTACTGACGATGGAACCAGTTACACTACTATCGAAATCACGCAAAACTACAGACGACGCCAACTTCACGACGATAGAGCACAAAGGTACCACGTCTTCAAATGCTTCCTACAGAAGTAAAATCACACTGATTACGGTAGCGTCTTGGTCCCAGATTGAATAATTTTCTGTCGTACCGTAATCATATGTGATATTCCTCTCTACTGTACAGGTCCTAGCTATATCAACTATCTATTTGTCAGGGAGAGCAAAGAAATCTCGCCGGATCTACAACGCACATAAAGCTGAGACGACAGCTGGAAGAAGATTCTAGAAGGAAAAAAAAACAAAAATAAAAATGGGAAAAAAGAGGATACAACCTAGAAACTATGTATAGAAGGATGTGGCAAAGTGATGCAAGGCTAAGTCTCAAGACGCGCTACACGCACACATCCTCGTACCTCTGCCGAAGAGTTTCCAGTACAAGTACTTCTAAGTACTCTTCTAGCTTCAGCATGTGGCACGTCTCGTACACCAGTAGTTCCTACGCAATAAAATGAATGAATGAACGAATGAATGAATGGGATGAATGAATGAATGAAGAACACGCGGCAGATATGTAACTCCAACACGAAAAAAATAATGTAGGAAAAGAAACAGCCAAAAAGAGACAGCAGAACAAAATTAATACATCATCGCGAACCTCGAAAAAAAAAAGTCTAAAGAAGAAAGAACGCTTCGGAAGTGCAGGAGATATAAGTCCTAGGATTACATACCATCTGAATTCTAAAACTTAAAGGCAGTGACCACGATCACTAGAGGGCGGGGCGATTTCGGTGACGTCAGCAAGTGTGATTGGTGCATCAAAACCGCTCCACCTTCCAGCCATAGTGTTCACAGCCTCTAAAAGGCGGTTGCATCTAAGCCGATTCCCAGCTGCATACAAACCGCCTGTGTCTCAAAAATCATGCATAAGGAAGGGAAAACGCGTGAAGATATTATGGGAAGAAAACTAGGGTGAAAACTGGGATAACAAATCAAAAATGGAATTTTCATGTGATGAAGAAGAATATCAGGATCTAATGCACTTGCTTCCTAGATATAACTATGTACATTTACATATACGCGCCGAAAGCACGAGATAGTACACGATCACGCTAACACAAGGAGCAAGCAATCAGTGAGTCAAAAAGAAAGTATGCAAGGGAGCGGGTGAGGGTGGAGGCAGGGAAGCTTTCAAGGATTCAAAGAACAAAAGCTGTCTGTGTATATAGGCTATAATAATATTGTGAAGGTTGAACGTGGGGCGCATGGCTACACATCAGCCAACCGGCCTCCGCTTTCTGGTCGTTGTCCTCTCTGCTCACGCGTTCAATCCGCCGACTGGCGTCGCCCAGATCTTCTCAAGATCCTTGAGAAGCATGGATGAATTATCGTCGTCTTCCATCAACGATGACGTTGTCGTCGTCATCGTCGTCGGCTTGTCGAAGGGCGGCATCGTCCAACCGCCACATCGCGACGCCCATGGATCGGCTGGCGTACGCGACACAGAGCCGAGAACCTGCAAATGGTTACATAGGGGGAAGAAAAAAGAAGGGGAGCAATTAACTCAAAAACGCCGCATACCTTGGAAGGATCAAGGCCGGAGAAGGAGAGTTCTTGGATGAATTTATCAGCGTTGAATCCAGGCAGAATCTGATCGCTAAGCAAGAGTGATTCGGGTCGCGAGACAGACGTCGCTGTGGCCGAGCTGGTGCTGTTGCTAGTCGTAGCGGCGGTGGTGGTGCTGGTAGTAGTCGCGGTGGTGCTCGTATTCATGGGTCGGAAAGGGCTGTCACAGCCCATCCTCAGCCCACTAAACGCGGTGTCCAGACCGAATACATCCTGTAATGGAAAGCTTAGGCTACCATTATACCAAAAGCAAGGCCATAAGATCATTAAAAGTTCGGGAAACCACATACCTGAAGGCTAGTATCTTCGCTAACCGACGACGACGCGCTGCTATCATCGAGGACACAATGATGACGGGGAATTTGTCCTCGGGCTAGAGTAGCTCCATAACTAGGGCGAGTAGGTGTTCCAGCTTCTGCCGAAGCCGATGAGCTATTCAGACCATGAGATAGTGTTTGATGAACAGGCTTATTCGGTTGCCGGCGTTTCCATCCATCAACAGAGGCCATCTCGTAGAAGAATCCGTCCGAATTTGCATCATAATACCTGAATCGATCAAGAATAACCACGAATCGGAGAGAACATTTCACAAGCCAGCCTGTATGCCATCAACAACACGTTCACGGTTCATTTCTGAGAGGACAAAGAAAAACCCGGAAAAGCGAACTCACTTGAGAGCCGGTTGTGAGAACAGCGCACTCTGCAGCAATGCATGCGCTTGCGCTGCTGTCTGCAGATTCAACATCGGAAGTTTGCCTCCATTAGCCAATTGTGTGATTTCCTGCAAGAACTTTCTTTCAATTAGTCAATTCCTCAAATAGTCACAGTAGAATCAGTTTTTATTTTAGAAACACAAGTCCATCAGCTGCTTGTTTAAAGGCACGGGTGGTGATCAAATTGGTGTAATAATCCTGACGAAAATGAAACAAGAGGTGCCGGGCCATTATTGAGGAAAGAAAGCAAAGTGATCTACAGAAAACACTGAGATTGAGCACCTCCTTTTCTTGGAGGGTCGACCGTGGTACGATGGAGAGACACAGCGCGACGAGAAGAGGGAACATGCGAGAGAGCACGTGTTAGGAGAGGACGCAGACACCGCGAATGCTGGGATTGGGTAGAAGTAGCAGCGGATCTGGCGGTCAAAAGAAGGGCTTGGAGATCTTGCTGCGCACTTCCAAGCCGCGATAGTGCCATAACTCCAGTGCTCAGAGAACCTGTTACCTCACTGAAGAGAATTGCACCAAGGATCATAATCGTAACCTGTGCCTTTAAGTGCGAGCTGACTGAAGGGCCCAGCCGATCCGTTGTTGTCAATTTTAACCCAACACGAAACGTCAGTTCTGATCCGTTACAATGCAAGTGCATGGTGCACAAATCACGCCGAGATGAATAACACTTAGGACTACGAATGCTTGTGGGTCAGAGATCGTACAAGTGCACCGGCAGCACGCAAAAACACTCCCCTCAACAACCATAAACAACATCAGCTGGGCTCCCGCCAATATGAGATAAACAAAATCCGGGCATCAAGGTTCGAAACTCGTCATGTATAAATTCGTTGCAGACCCTCAAATTAACGATATTGAGTTCCGTAGAAACCTTCGGAAACCTTGAATTACAACCCTAATGGGGGGGGGGACTGATTCAGTACAATAATTCTCATCTCAAGATGAAAATCGGAAAGAATCATTTTAAAAGCACAGTCTAATGTCACCTATACAACATGCCTGCTGCATGAATGCTGCCTGCTTGTGTGCAAGAACCGGACCACATCAACTTTTCTTCGTAAACGTCGAACGACGTCTAGTTGAAAGACGATTGACACCGTTGCGCACTTCTACACACACACGATACGATCGCAGAAAAACAACTATGGAACCGTATTCGCACATAAATTCACATCTACACGTCGTTAGCATCGACGGCGCACCTAATATTGTCATCGATGGGAACCTACACAGGGGTTGCTAGCTTGGCACCTTTCCATTTCCTTCGTCACTAACCGAAACATCAGTACAACCGTCATTGGAAAACGGGCGCTCATGTCGTTGGGGGGAGGCTTTCAAAAGAGTGAGCCATAAACAGTACCTGGGACTAACAGCTCTAAGAATGGGAAGGGATTCTGGGATACCATGTCAGCAATTTTTGTTCTCCCTGGCCTCCCTCCCTTCTCCTAGTTTAGTCCTAGTGTCACCCTACCAGCGATTTTCCGGTTTCCGGCCCTGTTTTGATGTCCCCCCCCCTCACCCAAGGACATGAGCGCTGGAAAAAGTCCATTCAGTTGCGCAAATACCACCCCCGCGCTCCATACCTAACCAAAATATTCGGCTTGAAGGCAGCATAACATTACGTTCGGGACAATGACTACACAGATATTGGCCGACGCAGCGCCAACCACTGCCTGGGGAAAAATTTTGGGGTTGGAAACCCCTTCCTCCTGGAAAGAGCTTCACCTGGCTCCTCCTACAGTAGCCTATGACCGACAGATCGGCCTCAAATCTTTCACCTATCATCATCAAAAACGTTGGGCAGGGAAAAAGCATACGTGCTGCCACCGTAAAAACTGGAAATTTTTAAAATCTCTCGAAATTTCCAACTTTTCCACTTCCCTGAAAATACCCTTCGAAACTTCCACCATATCAACCCTCTTCTTGAAATTACCAAGACGGCCTATCGATGGGAATTTTCCAACGGTTGGGAGGCCCTGCATGATTTTTCCGTATTCCGACCCAAAATTCTTCCTCGGGTATCCAGCTGTTCTGAAGCAAACAACCCCCGAACCGATTCCGTGACATTTTCTAATTAGTCACGACGACGACGACGACGACGTTCACCTTATTTATTTGTCCACAAAACACGAGACAGCCAGCTGTTTATTGTGTCCCCGGGGCCAGTGCTGTTGCTGCTCGAGGAGCTCTTGCCTTTAACGGCAAAACAACCCAACCACGTGAATTGCTCACGAGGATCGACGTCGACCACACAAACTTCTCTCCGTCCCACACAACAACAACGACGAACGCTGTTAGCACAGGTGAACCGGGAACCGCCGGCTGTCCGGAGTTTGACACTGAGCTGCTGCTACTCTTAAATAATTCCTAGGCCGCAATTCGATTACCTCTTCAACGGGCTGCGTGCTTATTGAAGTCCGGAGACGGATCTTCGAATTAGCTCAGGGATCACTAATTGTCGCGGTGAGAACGTGACGCGAGAGCAGTGGAAAACAGCGCGATGGGATAACTGGGATGACGAACCCTTCAATAATTACTCGGCGCCGGCCGGCTTTTTCTATTTCAATATCGCAACGCACTTCGTTCAACGAAAGTTCAATCTATCGCGTTTAATCATGGGTCTAAGGACAACAACTATGTCGGAGCCAGCGTATCGAAAAAGACTCAGAGTCCATTCTACGGACACTCTCATCACGAAAATTGCTCGCCCTAGGGAAATTTGAGGCGTACTTTCTCATGGCTTGTTCTGCGCTGCCCTTCAAAATTACCCCCCAAAAAAACTATCAGGTCAAAAACTGCAGCTATGCCCTCGAACGATTCTACAAACACGACGCGCTTTGCGTCAGTACAGTATCGTCGACGTTGTCTTATGTATGAATCCAATCATTCAAAAGTACCGTACCTGTTCTTTGATGCGTTGCATTGCGGAATTCGGCATTCGACGCCTCCAGCCTTTCGCTCCATTCTGCTCATAGTAGTAGCCGTCAGATGCCACATCATAGTACCAATAATCCTCGCCACCGCTCAAAACACGTTGTCGTTCACCAGCAAAAAGGTCTTCCAATGCTGCAGCTGTAAAAAACGAGCTCCTGGTTTTTGACAATTTACGAGCAAAATATTTAAAGCAAAAATTCAAGAAACCATTCCGGAAAAGCCCGAAAACAGTAAGGAAAAATCAGTGACTGAAGGAAAAAGTTACCGTTCACATCCACATCAGTCAGATCAAGCTGTGCAGCTCCTTCGTTCTTCTTCGCACGACGTAGCGCCCGACGTCGTTTCTTGTCTTCGGATTTGCCACCGGCTTGCGGCGAGTTTTTGCCATCAGTCTTCATGGAACCGTTGGCCGGCGCTGAAATTGGAGACAGCTTGATTACTGGACGATGACTGAACGACACTAGGTCGCTCCTTGTCGCTGCTACACATACGATCAATAAGGAAAGCTGACAAGAAGGACGCCAACAGCAGTCAGCAGCCGCGGTGACGACCACCACTACCATCACCACCACCACCACCACGCGCTCGAGAGACGTCGAGCGTCGATCTCAATTGTACTGGTTTCACCGCGCAATCGCCGTCATTGGATGACGATGTGAAGGTGATTCCTCGATGGTGGTGGTGGAAGTGGTGGTGACGGTAATATTGTGGCTAGTGTTAGTTGGCGAGAGCACGAACTAGGCATACAGGAACCGTACACAAAGAGATCAGCTGTGATAGCGCCAGTGTGCATTCGTAAGTGTCCTAGTTGTATTCAGGGTGTGAAATCAACACAAAAGCATCACGTCGTTTTTCAGCGCTCTGCGCTCATTTCCACACGTACACCCTGTGCACGTGTTTCAGGACATTTGCAACTTTTTCATCTCGCCGTTCCAGCACGATAACATATGTCTCTACGCTGCGAGACTTATGACACTAACTTTCCTGACCATCTGCCTAACCAAATCCAGCCATCGATTGCTCTGTCGAAGTCAGCAATAACAACCAGAAATGTAATACAGCGCTGATAAGAGAACGCTTTGGGAACGCTTCACTGATGCCCACCCACCACTCTTTGCACGAAAATTAGCAAGTGAAAAGGAAAAAGGATGAAGTACAGAAGGAAAACAAATACCGAGATAAAATCGCATTAAGAGCGATTAACAGAACTGGGCGCTATCGCAAAATACGGGGGCATCCTCTAGGACTATGCCTTGGAGGAGCAGGAACTCCAGAAAAAAAAGAAATTGTCCACGCTCTCTGGAGTCTCTCCTCCCCGCCTGAGGCTAAATCTACTGCCACCACAATGCCCCCTCATCCTGCGATAGCTCCCCAAACCGTTACCATTGCTATGG